CAGCTGGCTGGCTCGTTTTGGGCAGTTGGTGTAGCCCAAGAGAGCTCGGCCAAATTCCCCACCTGTGGGTGTGCCCTTAGGTGCTCTACCGGGTAATCAGCAATGCCCCAGTAAACACAGATAAGATCCTACCGGCCTTTCTCCTGCCAGGTTAGTTCCTCAACAGCTCGCCTGATAGCTCCAGGTAGTGCCCCGGCCATGGAGTTTTCTATGACTCCTAGGGGCCCTATGAACATGGATTTGAGCCCTGTCCTTTCCATTACCATCCTCATCATTTCTGATACCAGGAGCTCATTGCTGCATTCACTGTGTCAATCCATCTTATTGAGGGTCTTCCTCTGTTTTGCTGACCCTCTACCTTTCTGAGTATAATGTTCCTTTCTAAAAAACATCCCCTCCTAACATGTCCAGAGTATGTGAGATGAAGCTTCCCTATCTTTCCCTCCCGGAAGCATTGTGACTGCACTTTCTCCATGACATTCCTGTTTGTTCTTTTGACAGTTCGTGGGATGTCCACTATTCTTTTCTGACACCAAACTCAAAGATGTTGGTGGTTCTTCTGTTACCATTATTCATTGTCCAGCTCCCGAATGCATAGTAAGTGATTGGAAAGACCAGGGCCTGAATTAGGCACGCTTTAATCTTAAGTGGATTATGTCCATTATTTCATCAAAATATAAAATTCTGTAGGAATTATCACCTCAATTTTATAATTAAAGCGCAGAGAACCACCTAATTACTTTAAGAGTTATGAGGAAAGTTGGCACCTTCTCCTCCACCCCCGTACCTGGAGAGAGCTACAGAAAATGGACTATAAACACTGGCAAATATTGACAGAGGTCAAAGTCATGGCAACACTACTTGGCCAAGTCCCCTGTGAAAGAATAAGCCTTAAGTTCAAAGAGGACTGGTCAACTGAATTTGCATTCCCAGAAACTGGGCAACTTCTGAAGCTGAGTTATAAAACTGGCAGCTGTTTCTTCATATCTTTGTGATTTTGTAAAGCTCTTCTCTTTACTAACTTCCTGACAGCTGTTCTTACTTTCTGTGGTGGGTCTTCTTTCTTTTTTGTTTTTCCTGCTCTCCAGGGAAGGGAAATCAATATAACCTTTTTTTCTCAAGGGTCTTGACTTAGTTGTGTCTCAAGGGCTACCATCTGGAAGGGAGGATCAGAAGATCTGTTTTGATTCAAGCCAGGTGTCTGGGTTGGGTTTGTTCCAGCCTGGGCCAACTAATTGCTCACCAGATGTTTTTTCCGTTTGTGAGTGCTCTTGTGGTTGTGTGGCTGACTTCGGCTTCAGATGGTACGTATGCGTTTCTTAAGCTCAGTTTACAAGGCACTTGAGGTCAGTTTGTGCGTTCTGATGCAAGAATCTATGTAAAGAGAATACTTCTGCCTTTTGGGGAAAAATATTTCAAATTTCTTGGCCTAAGAAGATCTGGTAGTTTAGTGTATTATTACATGCTGTGCTGCTAACTGAAAGGTCAACAGTTTGAATTCACCACTGGCTCCTGGGGAATGATAGGTCATCTCGTAGGAGTTCACTGCATCAGACCTGATGAAAGGTCCTTATGAGTCAGAATCGACTCAGTGATGATGGGTTTTGGTGGTTTGGGGCTTTTTAAAAAAATGCTTTTTACTAAGTAAGAACTTAATAAAAATGATTGGTGATTAACCCTCCTTTTTATTCTGTGCAGGGGAGCGAGGGTGGAGGGGGTCAGGGGTAAGGAAGGAGAAGTATTAATTAAAAATCCAGGGAAATCTTACCTGTTACAACTATAGGACTGCTATTTGGAAAAGGGATTGTTTTCTTTAAAAGTGGGTATTTCTTAAAAGTGTGGCTTAATTTGAGTGAAATTCTCGGATTTTCTTTTTTAAAAAAAATCAAACTAGAAACTTTGGGAAAGGGAAGTACACAGATATATATGGACATGAAGGAGTACAAGAAAGAATCAGAATTAATTATGCAGAAAAAAAAAAGACATTTGAATAAGGGAATCTAACAAGAGCTCCTCACAGCACATGAGATGCCAACTCGATCTGTATTCTTTTTCTTGTTAGTGGAGAACTGTCCGGAACCTCCCTCTGTGGACAACAGCATTCTTTTTGTAGAAGAGGCTGAAGGACCAGTTTGGTTGACTTATTTGTGTCTCGAGGGCTACCATCTGGAAGGGAGCACAAGCCTTTTTTGCAATGCCTCTAAGGACTGGGATGCCCCGCCTCCCTCATGCCGCTGTAAGTTTGATCTTTCAGCTTCCAGTCTCATCTTTCATCCTCTCCGTTCTCTTACATCCTACCTTCAGAAGGTCGCATTAACACACTACATACCGAAGAATTTCTCAGTCTTTAGGAATCCATCTTTAAAGCCCCGAATCATGGAACATCTCTTAGAAGTTTTGATATCAATCAGCTCTTAATCGGCACTAATTTAACTTAAACTTATTTCAATTTTATTTAACCTCTCACAACATGACAATTATATTATGGGAAATTTTGAACATAAAAAAGAAGACATAGGAGTGAGATGTGACATTTCCTAGAAGGTGTATGAGCAGCTCTTAAGCAACTAATTCAGCGAATTAATAGAATCCATCATTAGTATAGAGGGGGAATTTCCATATATTAAAACTTTATTTTTTTGCTACAATTTAAGCTCATGTCAATTTTGTGGCATTTCACACTACTTAAAATATTTTTGTATTATAAACAATGTCAAACATACATAAATAGACAGAGAAGGCAAATTAACTCTCATAGTCAGTACCAATTAACACCTGACTAATCTTTCATTTATACTTTCACTTATTTTTTCCCCTAGTAAATAAACTTTAGTTTTAAAAATTTATCACATTTTTTGCTGAAAGTTTAAATAGTAAATTAGACTCTCATTTGACAGTTTTTGTGCAACTTGTTCTGTAATGTTGGTTACATTTTCCACTATGTGTCAACATTTTATTTTTATTCCATTCCTAGCATCAAGTGCATTAATATTTTCATCTTTTATTCACTTGACTAACTTACATCTCTCTGAATTGTCTTCTGAATTTTTCATACCATGTAAAACAAAACAGTCAATGCAAGACTCAAAAATTTTGAATAAGGCTTGGAAGACCCAGGATGAGAAAGACGTATTGACTCAGTGACTGGAGAAATGGGATGAGGTCTGTCAGAGACAAGGAGATTGGCTTAGCACAGGGCAGGTTTCAGAGCTAATGTACTAGCTATGAGTAACAGGTGACTCGATGGCACATAATAAAAACACCACCATGCTGTTGGTAATTTTCAGTTTTATATTTAATTATGTTTAGTAAATTCCTTTGCTGAAGCTTACCAAGTGATTATTAAGCATACGTAAACCCTCCTCCTGCCTTTTTTGGTCAACCTCATCTTTTCTCAGGCTGCATTGATATGGCTGGCTATGTGCTCCTGCCCCTATTAAAAATGTGCTGCTCTCAATCTCACCTCCTATGCTCTTACTGAAGCCCTAGGAGCTCTTGCCTGTCTTGGGGCTGACTTCAGCTTAGCATTCTCAAATTATTGCCTATTTCTTTTTCAGTGGGCCACTGTCCCGAGCCTGTACTGTCTAATGGTGAATTCATTCCCTTGGGACCTATGCATATCAATGACATAGTCACATTTCAGTGCAAAGACCAGTACATCCTCAAGGGTAGCAATTGGAGTCAATGTCTAGAAGACCACACCTGGAAGCCTCCTTTACCTATCTGCAAAAGTCGTAAGTGCAAGAAAAGCAATGGTGAAAGCCAACTATACTGATGAGTAATAGCTCTCCAAGCATACATTCCTGCAGTTCTCTCTTAGCTTTTTAAGACAGACAGGTGGTGGCTATAACCCACAGAAATGTCTATTCTTACAGTTCAGGAGGTTAGAAGACTAAATTCAGATATGTTACCTGTGGGGAAGGCTTCTTTTGCCTGATCTAAAGGGAAATCTTTGTCTCAGGTTCTCTAATATTCTTCTAGAGTTCACTGGAGACCTCCACATGACACCTACTTTCCCCCATGCATGCCTTCTTCGATGCCTAATCTGTTCTTGCTATACCTTAAGGAGACTGGTTAAGACAAACCCTACACTGATATAATCTCATTAGCATAAAAAGAGAACTGTATTAACAAATGGAATTTTAACTATAAGAATAGGGGTTATGATATACAACCCATAGTTTTGTGGGACATAATTGTAGCTGTAACAGATGATTTATTTTGTTGTTGTTCTCAGAAAGATGTAGTAACAAGAAGTAAAAAGCAAGTGTAGTTTGCAGGAACCAAACTTCAACTCAAGTGATACCTTTCAATGCAATGAGCCTGAAACACACCTTTTTCTTTCTATTAATCTACTTTTAACATGAGACATTACTAAAACTCAATACCGCCAAGTTGGAAGCGATTCATTGCTGACCCACCATTGGGTTTCTGAAGCTGTAAATTGCATGGGAGAAGGTTGATCATCTTTCTCCCTTGGAACCACTGGTGGATTCAGGGGATAAGAGTTTCAGCCTTTGGGTTAGCAGTGCAGTCCCCTAAACACTATGCCACCATAGTTTCTTTGGGGCCTTGTTATATATGCACATATTTTTTTTCTTCTTTTTTCTTTTCTTGTTGTGTATCATCAAATGGGATCTGACTTGCACAAAAGGAGATTGCCCCTCTATACATACATATTTTTAAATTTAACAATATAAATCAACATCTTTTCCAGACTAATTCCTTCTCTATTGCTTACTTTTTAATGCCCTTCTATAAATATGTTATAATTTATTCCATATTGATAGGCAATTATTTTATCTCCATACATTTATAATTGTAAATCCTGTTGAAGTGAATGTTGTCATTTGTTGTTATTAAATGCCAACCCTCTGAACAACAGATCAAGATGTTGTCCAGTCCTGCACCGTCCTTATTCATTATCTCCTCCAAATTCGAGGCCACTGTTACAGTTACTGTGTCAATCTATCTTTTTTTTAAGGGTCTTTCTCTCTTATTTGACCCTACCTTTCCAAGAATGATGTCTTTTTCCAAGCACTGGCCACTCCTGACAACATGCGCCAAGTGTGTGAGATAAAGGTTCACCATCATGGCCTCGAAGGAGCACCCTGGTTGTACGTACTCCAACACAGATTTATTTGTTCTTTTGGCAGTCTGTAAAGAGAATAAGAGTCACATGAGGAGCACATATCTGACCTTTTCCAGCTTTACAGAGGGAAACTATCCCCATCCACAGCATCAATAACACAAAACCAATTCCCATGAGGTCAGGCGTGTCTCCTACACTCCCATGCCTCTTTCTACTCATCTCAACACCAATCTTACTGCTTTGCTGGGTTCAAAATCTGATGTGATGGCTCACAGTCCACACAGAACCATGTTGGGGATGTAAAAAGGTTATAATTGAGATTAATAACAGGATACAGTCAAGACAGCTACCAAAATGTGCAGCTGAAGCCTTGATTGTTCTCAATTGTCCAACAGTTTTCTCAGTCCTGTCAATGCCAGCTTCCTACGTGTTCCCCCAAAGTCCCATTTGACATCATAACTACCAACATTTTGGTTATCAGAGATTGAGTAAATAGTCAATTTTGGATTCACAAATAAAGACATATTGAAAAGAAATAGTTTTATTTATTAATAAATTGATCAAGAAGACAAAAGATTCCCACCACTGGGCCAACTGGCAGCACCATGATGAATGGAGATTGAGGTTATTAACAGTTACTGTTTGCTCATCTTCACAGTCAACACCATTTGCACCAGCAGTCAGGAATTCAAAAGACACATTAGGTAAATCTGCTGTTACAGACTCTCCAGAGTACTGAGAAGCAATGATGTCAGTCTGGAGGCTAAGATGTGCCTGATCCAGGCCATGGTCTTCACAATTACTTGCTATGCATCAGAGAGCTGGACAATGACTAAGGATGACAGAAGAAGAATTGATGCCTTTGAGTTCTGGTACTGGAGAAGAGTCTTGGATATACCATGGGGGTGCCAAGAAAACAAGTAGGTCTGTCTTGGAGAGGGGAAAACACGTTTCTAATTGGGGGCAAGAAAATTGAAATTCCATCTCACATACTTTGGGCTTGTTCGGGGAGGGACTGATCCTTTGAGAAGGACGTCATGCTCAGAAGGGTGGAGGGACAGCACAGGAGAGGAAGATCCTGAATGAGACGGATTGATACAGTAACTAGGGCAATAAGGGTAGGTGTGTCAGAGTCAGTGAGACTGGCTCAGGATAGGGCAGGCTTCAGAGCTGTTGTACATAGGGTTGATAGGGAAGGCTAAATGGCACATAACAACTACAACAAATTGATAAGTTTAATAATATATTAATAATTATTCATTGCATTTTGAAGTGTAAAAAAATCACCTTATTAATAAGTCCTATCTGAACATTTACTGAAGGTCATACATCAAGATTTGAATAAGGAAAACTTAGACATGTTCCTGGATGAATAGGTTTAGTTTTACAAAAGTATCAATGCAATCCTCATTAGAATCTGAAATTTTAAAAATATGTTATACATGTAAAATAAGACAAAACTTTTAGTCTTATCTGTAAGGATATATATCTTAATATTGCATTCAAAAACTTAAAAAAATTCTTTTTTACCAAATAATGAACATTGTAAGCAATTGACTGGATCATAAAAGAAGAAATACTGGATTCATCGATAGCAAAAATGTCCGATGAAGTGACTACAAGAAAAGTCTTACTTAAATGGCAAATTATAAGTTTTATGATTACTGTTTCTTTAAAATGAAAAAGTCACTACTGTTTTTGAGTACAGTTAAGTCTATTTAAAGGCACAGGTGTTGCAGACCAAGGGTAAAGTGATTTTATAATTATTAATAATGAGACAAACAGCCAGGAATGAGAACAGAGAGCATAAAACAGGGGGTCAGCAGTTCTCTACCTGAAGACCCCAAGCCAAGCTTCTCTGTATCTTTATTGAAAATTATCAGGAAGTAAATCACAAAGAGAATTCAATGCAAATGAAGCCAAGCTCTTTCTATTGAAAACATTCTGCTTGACTCAGGAGGGAGGGGTTAGCAAATGCAAGAATCTGGTAAACCCTTAAGGCTTGCCTTAGTGCCTCAGGGTGAACTCTAGCTTGAACTGTTCCTCCCCGACATCCTGAAATAGCATTCAGTTTATTACAAATATTTAGTATTCGCTTCCCATGCACAGGAATGTAGAATATTTCTTTTAATTTCCATTCTTTCATTGTTGCACATTTCTCCCTGCCCATCCCTTGCTCCCCCCTCCTCCAGTACACTCTTCTCTTTGAAAAGTAAAAGAAAAGTTCCCCCATAGTTTTACAATCCCTCCCCCCAGGACCACTCCACTATGCAGCCTTTGCTCTCCTATATGGACTGAAGCTCAATATCAAGAAAACAAAAATTCTCACCACTGGGCCTATTGGCAGCATCAGGATGGATGGTGAAGGGAGAGATAGTTAACAGTTTCAGTTTGCTTGGTTCCACAATCAACACTCTTGGTAACAGCAGCCAGGAAATCAAGGGACGAATTACATTGGGAAAGTCAGTTGTGAGGGACCTCTCAAGAGTACTGAAAAGCAACAATGTCAGGGTGGAGACTAGGTTGCACCTGATCTACTCTGTTTATAAAAATCCTCCCCAGTAAGTTCATAGTGTGACTTCCCATCCTGCTTCTCCAGGATGAGGAACTCACCCAGGAGCTCCCCTTCCCCCACCTTTAATAAAACTGCATTAAGCTTTCTCGTTCTCTCTGATTTCTTCTTTAAGTCCACTAACCTAACCTAACAAGGAGAAGATAAAATAGATGAATGGGACCTTCTAAGAATCAAATTCTTATTCACATCCAAAAACTATGTAATTGTGAAGACTATAGCCCAGATCAGGTGCAACTTAGTCTCCACCCTGACGTTGTTGCTTTCCAGTACTCTTGAGAGGTCCCTCACAACTGACTTTCCCAATGTAGTGTCTCCTTGCTCTGTTTGCCTCCTACCTTTCTTCTATTTTTAAGGAATGCTTTGCTTATTGGGGCTTCTTTCCATTCCAGATGAAACTGGAGATTGCCTTTTCCATCTCGTTAAAGAGAATAATTTCTTTTAAATCAGAGAAAAGTCTGTGTTTCTTGTGAGCAGATAATCATCTATTTAGGAGTAAATAACTCTAGCTCATACCATATAAAAATAAATTCCAATTGGATTTAAGTATATAAATTTACAAAGCAAAATTGTTAAATTACTAAAATAAGATATGAAAGAATAGAGTAGTTACCTTGAATTGGAAATCTTCCTAAGGAACAACATTTAACTCAGAAGTCAAATGGAAGAAAATGGGTAGATTTAACTACATTATAAAATAAAAACTTTCCTATAGAAAAAAATGTTAAGAATTTAGAAAATAAGGGAGCTCTGATGGCCTAGTGGCAAGACCCTGCACTGCAATCCCAGAGGTATGCAGTTCAAATCCACCAAATGCTCTGCTGGAGAAGGAGGGGGCAATCTCCTGCTGTATCAGTCAGATCTGATTTGACGGTACACATAAAAATAATACAATAAAAATAAAAAAAATAATTTAGAAAATAATAGACTTGGCAAGAACATTTGCATCATGTTTGTTGGTTATAGTGTTAAATAGCTACTCACTTTTCAATTATTTCATTATCCATTTCCCACTTATGACAATAGTGAAAAATCTGCTGTTTTGTGCATTAACAACATCTATCTGGCAGTAACATACACTGAAGTGGAGACTGGGGGCCTCAGCTGGTGGAGGTGGTGGCAGCATGGATAAAGCAGTGTTCTCTAAAGTCAAGGTAGACTTTATATTCACTTCTGGAGAAGTATTGTAACTTCTGCATTTGAGAGGAGGGCTCATGTGCTCTCTATTAACTTCACAACAGGGAACATTCCCCATTCTTATTGTTATATGCTGTTGAATCTTCTGAGACTCATAGTGACTCTATGTACAACAGCTCTGAACCCTACCCTGTCCTGAGCCAGTCTCACTGACTCCGACACATCTACCCCCATTACCCTAGTCACTGTATCAGTCCATCTCATCCAGGGTCTTCCTCTCCTGCGCTGTCCCTTCACTCTTTCAATATGATGTCCTTCTCCAAGGACAGGTCCCCATTAGAACTATTGTAATAGCAAACCAATTCCCATAGGGTCAGAAATGGGTCCCATACTCTTGAACTCATTACTACTAATTCCAGCTTCAATTGTACTGCTCTGAAACTGGATTTGAAAGCCACTGAAATAGCCACACAGTTCTGATAGAATATTTATAGTTATGAAGTTTACTTGGGAAGTTAAGCTACAGTTCATATTGGCAACAGGATACAATTCTTTAATCCAGGCAGCTTCTTAAGTGTGCTTCCAGGCCCTTTGACCTTCAGCCTCACAGTTTAGGTCAGTGTTACAAAGCTCCCTTACGTCCTGCCAGCTATGGTGTCTCCTCTCAGTTCTCCAGTAAGCTTGGTTGGAGGCTCTTGGCTCGGCTCCATAGAACAGAAGTCCCAAGTCAGCCAACCTCATGCCATGTCAACTCTACTGAGGTGATTACTGCTTCTATGTAGATCCTGGTTTGACTTGTGAAGGAATCTCTGTCCCCAAAGGCTGAGCACTGCACTCTCTGCTTCCTCTTCCTTTCTGAGAGTGAGTTTCCTACTCTTGATGTTAAACGTGTTCAATTCTTGATGGGATGTAAAAAATTTACCAATTTCTTAATGACTAGTTTATACTCTCCCTATTTCAAGTTCCTGCCTTCTTAAGTGGTGAAAGTGCAGCCAGATGCTTCTTGGAGACTAGGGTAGGGAGACTTCTTCTCACATACATTAGATACATTATCAGAAAGAACCAGTCCCTGGAGCAGGACATCAAGATTGGTAGAGGGTCAGAGAAGAAGATAAAGACACTTAATGAGCTGGATCGACACAGTGGCTACAACAATGAGCATCTCCTTTTCTCTCAACCCTTTTCTCCTTGTATCTGGAAAAATTTATTACACAACTCTTTTTCACAGCAAGTATCAACACTTCTTCTCAGGTCATGTCCTTTATCTCTTGCCTCCAACTTGTGTCTTCAGCTTCTATCTTTAACCTTATTTTTCCTAGCATTTAGTGTCTTTAAGACTCAACTTCTGGCAGTTCCCTATCTATGTACTATTCTAGCTGTTTTTGAATGGTCTTGAGCAGTATTTTGCTTGCATGTGATATTAATGGTATTGTTTTATAGCTTCCACATTCAATTGAATCACCTTTTTTGGGGAATGGGAACAAATATGGACCTCTCCCAATCTGTTGGCCAGCCAGCCATCCTCCAAATTTCCTGGTGCAGACTCGTGAACACATCCAAGTTACCTGTTAATTGAAACAAATCAATTGGTATCCCATCAATTCCTGGGGTCTTATTTTTTTGTCAGTGCCTTCAATGAAGCTTCTACTTCCTCTTTCCTTACCATTGGTTCCTGTTCATATGGTACTTTCTGAAATTTGTCAATGTCAATCAATTCTTTTTGGTACAGTGATTCTATGTATTCCCTCTATTTTCTTTTGATGCTTTCTGGGTCATTCAACATATTGCCCATAGCATCTTTCAATACTGCAGCGTGGGGTTTGAATTTGTTTTTCAGTTCTCTTAGCTTGAGAAATGCAGAGCAAGTTCTCTTTATTCTCCAATTCCAGCTCTCTGCACATTCTGTTATAATACTTGTTTTCTTGAGCGGCTCTTTGAGATATTCTGTTCAGGTCTTTTGCTTTGTCATGTTTCCCCTTTGTCTGGGCTTCTTGACATTTCTTTTTTAAAAAAGAGTCTCTTCTGACATCCATTTCAGTTTTTTTCTTTCTCCTCTTTGTTGGTAATGATCTTTTACTTCATGGTTGATATCTTAATAACACTTCACAACTCATCTGGTCTTTGATCATTGGTGCTCAATGCTTCAAACCTATTCTTAAGATGATTTTGAAATTTAGATGCAATAGATTCAAGATCATATGTTGGTTCTGGTGGACTTTTCATTTTCTTTGGCCTAAATTCAAACTTGCATGTGAGTAACTGATGGCTTGACCCACACAGTCCACCTCTCAGCTAGTTTTGACTGCTGATATTGAGCTTCTCCAAGATTTTCTTCTGCAAATGTGGTCTATCTGATTCCTATGCCGTTTACCAGGTGAGGTCCATGTAGAAGGTCAGTGTTTGAGTCTTTTTTTTTTTTAAGTATTTTTAATGAATTAATTATTGAACATACAAAATTAGGTCATTCTATTTCCAGCCTCATTTCTATCATAAAGCCCATATTTTCCAACTTCTATTCCTTCTCCACTGTTTACAACATTTGCATTCCAGTCACCAATTATCATTAACACATCTTGATTGCATGTTTGGTCAAATTTGGAGCTGTAAGATTTGCTCAAAATTTTCAATTTCTTCCTCTTGGGCTCTAGATTTTCCAGCAGGATTTAGAAGAGGTTGTGGCACCAAGGATGTCATTGCTGATGTCAGATGGATTCTGGATGGAAGTAAAGAATACAAGAAGAACATCTATTTATGCTTTATTGACTAAGCAAAGGCATTTGACTGTATGGATCATCACAAAGTTATGGCTGACATTGAGAAGAACAAGAATCTCACAGCACTTAATTGTGCTCATGTGAAATCTATACCTAGACCAGGAGGCTGTTGTGCAAACAGAGCAAGGGAACACTACATGGTTTAACATTAAGAAGGGAGTGTGTCAGCATTATATTCTCTCTCCATACCCATTCAGTCAGTATTCTGAGCAAATTATTTGAGAATCTGAACTCTACAAAGAGGAATATGGTATCAGGATTGGAAGGAGACACATAAATAACCTGGGTTATGCAGATGACACAACCATGCTTGTTGAAAGTGAGGAGGAATTATTGCAGAAGATCAAAGGATACACCCTTAAATATGGATTGCATCTTAATACCAAGAAAATGAAGATTCTTACCACTGGACCTATGGGCAACATCATGATAAACAGAGAAAAAATTGAAACTGTCAACAACTTCATCTCCTTGCAGGAGATGTAATGCGCTGGGAAAGTGTATAGTGAGGAACCTATCCAAATTATTGAGTATTAATGATGTCAGTTAGAGGGCTAAGGTGCATCTGATTCAGATGATAGTCTTTCTGATCACCTGTTATTCATCTGAGAGCTGGACGATGAATAAGGATTTCAGAAGAAGAATTGATGCCTGTGAGTTGTGGTATTGAAGAAGAATACTGAATGTCCGTCCCATGGACTACTGCCAAAAGAACAAAAAAATATGTCATGGAAAGGATACACTCAGAGTGCTCTTTGGAGGCAAAGATGGTGAAGCTTTACCGCATATACTTAGGGCATGTTGCTAGGAAAGGCTACTCTTTGGAGTGGGACATGATTGGAAATGTAGAGGGTTGGTGAAGGAAAGGAAAGCCCTTGACCAGGTGGACTGACACAGTGACTATCACAATGATCTCTAATGTGTCAGGAAGTATGAGGATGGCACAGGATAAGACAGGGTTCAGATCTGTTGTTCATAGGGTCGCTATGAGTTGTATTTGACTCGACTGTGCTTAACAACAACAACAATAGCAAACAACAACAAAAACAACAAAGACTCAGCTAATCTTTCCTTCTTTGAGCTCCTTCTTGTATGAAAATAACTATCAAGTCCCTAATGATCCAGTGGATGATCTGGGTTGAGGAGAGGTCTTTCACAAAGAAAAATAGGACTTAGACAAGAAGAAAATGACTTAACCTGTTCCCTATGTGTTGCTGTCAAGATGTCAGGTGCACTTAGAGGACACAGCTAAATGATTTTAACTGGCCTTCATAACTCTGTCCCTTTTGGATTTCTTTCTCTTAGGACACTGCGGCCCTCCTGGAAATCTGGTTCATGGCTATTTTGAAGGAAATGATTTCAGCTTGGGATCTAATATTACTTTTTATTGTGAAAAGAAGTAAGTGTATGCAGCCATGCAAATATGAGATCTTGCCAATTGACTGGAAGCAGTGATTGTGGGAATGACTCACTATATTCTGAACCTAATTTCTTGATGTCCTATTTCCTCAGGATTCTGAGCTCATTTTGAGTTCCAGAGCTGCTAGTTCTTTTTATCCATCGGGGGCATATTGTCCTTTTTATTTATCCTAGTTAGTACATTATTTTTTTTTTCTTAGTTAGGAGAAAATAAAGTTATAGTATTAAAAAAATGCATATTTTTCTCAAGACCAAAAAAAGTCACAGACATATATACACATTCATAAAATCAGAACCAATAGATGTCAAGAAATACTAACATTTAATGTGAAGATCCTTTAAACATTCTAATCTAGACATTATCTAGACTAGGACTTCAAACTCTTTGGAATCAGTTCAGTGATGAAGCAAACCAGGACAGACAGACTGAAATTTGAAAACTGGGTGCCTGGAAGGGTAACTGTTGTTGTTGGGTGCTGCTGAATCACTTGGAACTCCTAGTGGCCCTATCTGTGTACAATAGTCCTAAACCCTCTATCCTGCGCCAACCTCACTGTCTCTGACACACCTAGTCCCATTACCCCAGTCACTGAATCAATCCATCTCATCAAGGGTCTTCCTCTCTTTCACTGTCCCTTCATCCTCCCAAGCATGAAGTCTCTCTCCAAGGACTGGTCCCTCCTTGCAACATGCCCAAAGTATGACAGACAAAGCCTCAGAATCCTTGCCTCCAAGAAGCAGCCTGGTTTAAACCTCTCCAGGACAAAACTGTTTGTTCTCCTAGCAACCCATGGTATATTCAACACTCTTCTCCAGCACCAATTCAGCCCAAAGGCATCATTTCTCTTGCTATCATCCCTATTTCCCATCCAGCTCTCTGACATATAGCACACAATTGCAGACTATGGCCTGGATCAGGCACACCTTAGTCTCCAACCTGATGTCGTTGCTCTTCAGTACTCTGGAGAGGTCCCTGACAGCTAGAATGGGGAATATTATGAGTCAGATCCCTTGGATGGGAGACTCAAAAGAGACATCGTGAACACTTTCAGGAGCCTGATATAAGAGACTGGATTATGGCCAGAACGGTGCTCAAAGCGGTGTGGTCAGTCACCATCTTTGAGTCAGGAACCACTGTTTTCCACTCTACTGGTCAAGGGATTCAAACTGCTAGAGGGGGTTAGCAGCCCAACTATGTGCTACCAGAGCTCCCTACAGCTAAATAAAACTAGATTTACTTTCCCTGGTTCAGAAGGTGGGAAGGCTAATTGTACTAACTTCTGCATAGGTATCGCTTGGTGGGCACCCAGCACCAGCAGTGTGTCGATGGAGAGTGGAGCAGCACCCTTCCAAGATGTGAACGACTTCCACAGACAGAGTTAGAGAAGGCCCTTGTGAGTAGGGGTATCAAGACTGTTTTGTTCCCACTGTATCTCTAGGCCTGTTCCTGGTACATACTACAGAAATATCTTCTCAGTTCGGAATAGTGTTTCTGAGTGAGTCGGTTGGCCTTGATTTGATGGGAGAATGGAGCTCACAGATGTATGCATATTTTTATAAAAGAAAGTTTCCATTCACCATTATCTTAAATGCCATATTGGTCTGAAGTATTACCTTGTGAGCCTATGTAGAGAAAGCAGGATACCAAAGACTTGGAAGGATTGCTGTGAAGTATCTCTAAATCTTCTAGACTCCAAACAGCATGAGAAGATTACGTTTACTGAGAATCTTAATTGGTTTTATATTTATACTGAGGGAGCTCTGACTGAACTACTTTCAAAATATGTATTTGAGCCAGAAATGCAAATGATTTTTGAGTCTTTTAATTCCTACTAAACCCCCCTTTACAGTTGGGTCTCAGTTCTCCAGTTGTAACTTTAAAAAGATGTTTTGTTTGTTTGTTTGTTTGTTTTTCAGTTTGCCTTTCAAGAGAGTAAAGATTTTTGTCAAGCCATTAAGACCTTTATGCAAAGACTAAGCAAAAGTGGCCTCATTATGGAGCAAGTAAAATATTCTCTGCAGGTTAAAAAAGCTGAGTTGGAAAGAAAAAGGTTGCTTCAACATTAAAGCTGAAAAGACTGGGTAATAAAAATACACCTATGAATAAACTTTCTTCTTTATTCTAAAATTAGTCTCAGATTGTCTGCCGTTGTGCTGAAATGCAGCTTCCTACTATTGGACTGCAGGTGTACAGTGCATTCTGTTTCCGTGTGTTTGTGTGTCATTGTAGGTGTACTCAGCATGTAGTAAGGACAAGTGTTGTGATTGTCTACGTAAGACCAGAATTAGCTCCACATTGATGCAGAGCAGAAGGGTTTGTTTCCTGTCAGCAGAATGAGGAAACTTCGTCTCAGCTTAGAATGTGTCTCATGTTTTAATATGAGATGTAAATTATAAGGTAAATATTAACCAATAATTATGAGGAAAAAATCACTTTGCTTCTCATTTTGAGAAAATGATGTATTAAATTACAGCCTTAAAATGACCCATGAAGACAGAAGTAGAGCTAAGAAACAAAAGTCTTTCCTGAGTTTCCCCTGTACCCTGCTTATGAAAACAGGGCTCTGAGTTTTCTGCTGTAGTGAATACCATTTGGATGAACCCCAGCCCTGCAATGGTAGATGTGAAGCTGTGTGACACATATGAATTTTTTTCTCTTTTGTTTTTAGAGGTGGTTGTTATGTGCTGTTGAGTCTCCTGCGACTCATAGTGACCCTATGTACAACAGCCCAAAACCCTGCTCTATCTTGCGCCAATCTCACTGTCTCTGACACACCTACCCCAATTCCCCAGTCACTGAATCAACCCTCCTCATAGAGGGTCTTCCTCTTCTGCACTGTCCCTCCACCCTCCCAAGCATGACGTCCCTCTTCAAGGACTGATCTCTCCTTACATGTCCAAATGATGTCAGAAGAAGCTTCAGAATCCTTGCCTCCAAGGAGCAGCCTGCTTTAACCCTCTCCTGAATGAACCTGTTCATTTTATTAGCAGTCCATGGTACATTGAATACTCTTCTCCAGCACCACAGCTCAAAGGCATCAATTCTCCTTCTATCCTCCCTAGTCATTGTCCAACTCTCTGATGCAGAGAAAGTGATTGTAAAGACCATGACCTGTACCAGGCTCACTTTAGTCTCCAGAGTGACACCATTGCTCTTCAGTACTTTGGAGAGGTCCCTAACAGCAGACTTTCCAGTTTCAATACATCTTTTGATTTCCTGGATGCTGGTGCCAAGAGTGTGGATTGTGGAGCCAAACAAATGAAAGCTGTTAACAATCTCAGTCTCTTCACCATCCATCCTGATATTTTTAGAGAATGGAATAAATAAAAATCATAAAACTTTTTATTAATATGTCTGACTCAGCTGACATAGTAAGCTTCTCCCATCTCTTACATTATCTCTTTTAAAACACGTAGAAATGCTACAAAAAATACAACCAAATATAGAGACAACTTGAAAGAACAGAACATTTCTTGATGAACTACAAAAAACAATAAGAAATGGACTATTGATTCAATAGTTCACAGTCTATTCATAGACACAGGACATACATACATGTACAGCTGTTTTAGGATGGTTAGATGGCATATATGCCCTTCAGAGAATGGAGCTGTCAGAGGACAGCTAAGAAAACTTATCATTTTTTTAAGGGAGTAGGAGGCAGAAAAATCTTCATGGGGAAAAAAAAGCATAGTTATTTGAACTTTCAAAAGTATGTGGAGATAAAGATAAGAAGACACTCCTGGTGGGGAAAACATTTAGGAAATGGAGTAATAAGATCTTAAACACTTTAGCAAAAAAAAAAAAAAATCCTTAGTATTAATTTAATGAAAATAAAATTTATTTTGACTTGACACTTTTTATTATGATGGTTTTATCTTGATGCTCTTCATTAAATCTAAGCATATTGCTTAGATTGCCCTGAATTGGACATGGTGAGTGGTAGGATAGAAGCCTGGAAATACGAGGTAAAGTCAGTTTTCAAAGAGAGTTTTCAAAGGTACATTACAGGAATTTTTACTCTATTTGGTAAGCAATGAGTTGATGTGGAAAATGTTCAAACAAGGAAATAATAGGGACAGAACTCTGCTTATATTTATTTGCACTTTGTTGCTGACCTGAAGCTTTCTACTTGAAGCTAGTCTGTGGCTCCTGGAAGAAAGGCCTAGTGAACTTATACACAGGGCAATTCTTCTCTCTGGGGTCACCGTGGATCAGAATTAATACTATAGCAATTAGTTTGGTTAGTAGAGGGTAAAGTTTTTCATGGATCAAGACAGGAAATTGAATGGGAAGGCAGTAGTCCACCCACAAGAGAGTGACATCCTGAACTGGCTGAATGGCTGTGGAAATGGAAAAGCAGCAGACATTGCAAAATCCAACTCAAAGCAACTTGTTAGCTGACTGAACATTGGAGGATGAGAGAGTGGAAAGGTTCAAAGATGAGTCTGAAATCTTTTTCCTGGGAATGTGGCTTCACGCTGCAATCAGAAAGTGAAACTTCTGGGTAATCAATGCAAAAAGTTCTCTATTGGATAAGCTGAGTGTGAAGTATTTCCAAGATGGCCAGTGACCAATAAAAAGAAATGTAATTCTTGAGGTTGAGACAGATGCAGAGCTAAAGAGAATAATTGTTGGAGGAGTTGTGTCATGTTGTTGTGTTACCCAGAATTGGTTCTGACTTGGTGGCACCCCATATCACAGAATAGAGCTACCTCAGTGTCTCCAAGGTTGTAATCTTCCTAGAACAGATCACCAGGGTCTTTTTATCTCCAGAGCAGCTGGTGGGTTCAAACTACCAACCTTTCATTTGTCAGCCAAGCACTTGACTGTTGTGCCATTGGAGCTTCTTGAGTCCTCTTATAGGGTATAATTAAATCCATAAGAGTATGCAAGATAATTAAAGATGCAGAGAGAAAAACTCTTAAAAGGGAAGACCTGGAATGCATCCCTGAACTTAGGGATAAGAAAGAGGAGGAGACAAAAACAACTAACGGAAGAAAACAAACAAAACAACAACCAAAAACCCAACTCAAATATAAGACAGAGAAATAAGTAAAGTTTGGGGTCCTGGAAGTCAAAGGAGAAGAGAGTTTCAGGGAATATCTGATCATCAACAGTTTCAAATGCAGCAGAAAAATCACGAAAAAGAAAAGAAATAGTGCATTTGGAGAGAAAGTCATGCCTGAGAGAGATGTATCAAAAGAAGACAGATTGGAGGACAATCAAGAGGATGGCTTCTCAGAATGAGTCATGAGAAAGATAGGCTGGAAGTGCATGCAGGTCACGCTTTTGAAAAGTTGGGCATCTTTCCTAAAAGAGGGAAAAGAAAGTCCAGGCTGTGGCAAGATTAAGTGAACATTCCAGGGTGGGAGAAACAGGGAAACGGAAATAGAAAACAAATAAAGAAATTCTTGAGGCTAGAGTGAAGAAGGAGCGACAATTGGTTGTGAGAAAAGCTAATATTCTCTTTACTAGTCGAAGAGTAATTCTTAGTCAAGTAGGAGTCAAGATCATCTACTGAGAATAAAATAGTTCGGCGACCTGGAGAAGAATTGTTGAAACATTTCCTCTGAAAGATAGACACCAGTAGACTGGAGAGGGAGATCTGAAGGCAGAGCTTTAAAAGTGATATTTTGTCTTATATAGTTTTCAGAACTGAGATGTTCCTCTACGCCATGGTCCGATCAGTCTCTCAACTTTGTTTCTGCCTTTTGTTCTCTAATAATATCTACTTCTTGAAGACCTTGAAGCCCAGTGCAAATTACGCATTTTCTCCCACCATTTCCTTAACTGTGTCAACACTTTGTGACTCAACTGTTTCCTTTATGAAACATTTATGTGACTTCTGAATCTTTGTTACACAAAAGGTCAAGTTTTCCAGAAGAATTACCTTTTGAGAATGAACTCCTAAAGATCAGTAGCTTAATTGGAAAATGCCAGAGGTGGAGATCTTTCTTAGATCCACATGACAACAAACATGACTAAGGCCTTCACTACATTTTTCTGAATAGTATTCAAAATAGACTGGCCTCTCAAGGTCATTTGGTCCCTGCGTGTGGTAGCAGGGGTGGTAATTGTTACTGTTGGTTATAATCATTGTTGTTATGTGCCATCGAGTCATAGCGATCCTATGTACAAGAGCCCTAAACCCTGCTCTATCTCTTGCCAACTTTATTGTATCTGCTAGTCTAAGTGTGCTCTGCTGTACATAGGGTTTTCAAAGGTTTGCTGTTTCGGAAGAGTTGGCTCAAATTCATAGTAACCCCACATGTAACACAATGAAGTTTGTTGCAGTTCTGTGCTCTATCTTTACTTTGTTAGTGTACTGATGTCTATTGTATCCACTGTATGTTTTAAGTGCCTTGCAACATAGGGAGTTTATCTTCCAGCACTATATCAAGCACTGTTCTGATACATGATTTTCATTGGTTCATTTTCAGAAGTAGATCTCCAGATCTTCTTCATCTGTATTAGTCTAGGAGCGCCAATGAAACCTGCTCATCATGGGTGATCCAACTGATACTTGAAATCAATATCCTACTGATATTGGTGGCAGAACTCCCATCATGATTAGCAACACTTAAATCACCACTGTATAACCAAAAGATAGGTAATGGATGATAATTAACATTTATTGAGCAAAGACTAAGTATGTTCCAGACAACTCAACATGTAGCAGGAACTCCATAGACGTTTGTTAAAGTCTCTATGTTTTGTATTTTTTTTTACATAGGATAGAGACCCATACACAGCAAGATCACCTGCCTTGATCATCCCAGGAAAGTCTGCTGGATATAATGTCATAGAAAATGGTTCACTGGTTGAATTTCATAAGTATCCAAAAGTTCCAGACTAACTGCATTACATTTTGTATAACCCTCCTGTGTTTATGAAGAGTAAAAAGAATCTTGGCATCAAATTCAAATTACCTCTCCTCTTAGGGGAAATGGTTGGCAGAGGAGAAGATAAACTATTGCAACATGTTATCAAGAATGAGGACTAGTGAGGAGGAAGGAAGAGATTAGGCAAACACCACTGTTTTATGTCTGCAGTTAATCATTCA